TTTTTTTTTTGAAATTTTCAAATTTTGACCCGGCCGGGTTATGAAAACCAATTAATTAATTTTGCATGGCCTAATATTAATATAACAAAAAATTTTTTTTTACTATGATAAAAAAGCCTCAAATGATTAAGTCACCGACTAACACTGATCAGAAACGGTTTTTTTACCTCAACAGACTTCTCTAAGAACATTTTTTTTGAAACCATATTAAGAAAACGGGGTGAGTTTAAAGGTGTGTATTAGATCAAAATGACCGTGTATTTAGAAACTTATATGTGCTGGAAATCCTATTACGGAGTTCTTGATAAATATCATGTGACAAGAAATTGTCACATTTTTAATTCTAAGGTTGAAGTTATCGTCAGGTTGTCATTCTGAAATCTAAAACAAATTATCGTTATCATAGATAAGAAAATTTTCGCTTTTGAATTTCGTATCGATAAAGCATATAAATATTTACTATAGGACGTTGTGGCAATTCTTAAAAAATGGATCCTTCGGCAGCGTTGTTGAGTATTCTTCACAAAAGCCAAGCGTCACCTTCCGAATCGACAATGGCTGGTCAAAAAAGTCCTCCACCACCCTCCTATCCGCCTTCGCAGCCAACCCCACCTCCGAGGCAAAGCCCTCCTAAGACCTTTGGATTTAATCAGACATTTACTCAGCAAACTGGGTATAATTCCATTGTTGCTTTTTCACCAGCTACCGTACCACCACCGCCACCACCATTACCTGCACCAGAAGTAATGTCACCTAACCCTTTGACATCGTTGTTTAGTACTATAAATCAAAATTCTCTTACTTCACCTGTATCAACAACATCACATGGTGTTGTAGTGAGCCAAATACAAAGTCCTTCAAATGGCGAATTCAAAAATTTACCCTCTTCAACTACAGTTGACCCAACCTTAAACGTTGATAAAGCTTCAACTGAATCTCTTAAACTTGCACTATTTGGCCGTCCCACACCAGTCGCAAGCCTTGAGGAAAGGTATAATTCTGTGATGTAATTGTTGTCACAACTTTTAAGAAATCATCATTAACAGAGCAATTAACAAAGCTATTTATCGTAGTCAGCAAGAAAATGAAATCCAATATCAATCTGAAACTTTAATGGTTTCAAATGAAAGTCCAGAAGATGAAGATAACTCATTTCTTGAGGAAACATCTGAAATAGATGAACAATTATCATCTCCCACTGAAGTTATTGATTATAATAAATTATCTAGTTTGGAATCGATTAAACCAACTTCCACTACTACAGCTATTAAACATTCACCACCCGTGACGAACAAATCGATATTCACATACAGCAATCCATTTGACCTTTTAAAAAAATCACCGCCATCTTCTCCTTCTCACCGACATCCAGTCGATCACCAATGGACATCACAATCATCTCCACCTTCACAAAAGAAAAAAGATGTTTCAACAGTACAAAAGGAAGGTGGTGTTTTCTCTAGATCTCAACAACAAATTGAACCATTCCTTTCTGGATTTTCGGCTTGGAATGTACGCGCGAGCGCAGCTCCCAAAGGTCAAACAAGGTAAAAAATACTGATTTATTCTGTACGTGATTTGAAACTATCTTATAAAATCATTTATTAAAACATAGAATGTCGGAACCGTTCTTTTTTATTTTGTATGCGTACTAGCATTCCAGATGGTGTAAAACTTCCCAGAGGAATTCTTCTGTACGATACTGGCGAACGGAATGAAAAGGTCTTGTGCTCAAAAGACTTGAAACTTACAACCATAACTCTTATTCCAAGTGACTTGGAATATCGTCTTGGAAAATCCATTGCGGTCAACGGGCACTACATATGCTATGTAGTTAAAGGTATAAAATATTTAGTGGTGGTGAATGGTTACTTTATTGAAACTGACCTATATCGACTAATTTTAATATACAGGTGGGAAAATTAGAGTAATTAGCAACTTATATGGGAGTAAAACGTTATTGCGGAATCATGACAAGGATAAGTCTATACTTGATATGTGTATTCGGGAAACGTCACACGATGGACTTGATCAAGGACAGTCCGAAAAGCAGCTACTTTTGGCTATCGGCGGTGATAGTAAAATCACTGTTTGGGAAATTTCTGAGCCACCATCCGATCCGAGTGCAGAAATCCCGTATGCCATCCTTTCTTGTTTTGTCATTTATGAAAGGAACATCGGTTTGCAACAGTACAACTAAGTCATTCCGATATTCTTCATTGATCCCTTACAAATCTGTAAATCAGATACAAAGTATTACTTGAAATTGATGCCAGAGAGTCACTTGAGGACTTGAAACAACCACGGTATCATCGTGCCGTATGGCATCCATTGAATCCAAACTTATTTGCCGTTGCAGTTGATACGAACGAAGTTATGGTCTTCGATATTAACAAGATCTTAGATGGTAATGAAACACGGAGTTTTAAGGAATCCGAAATATCCGGGAAGATATTAAAATATAATAAGGTCTGTCATTTATGACAAAGTTTTACTTACTTAGTATTATATGTCTGAATAATTAAGACATATTATGTCCATATATTTTCTTAGCCTATTAGTGACTTGGCCTTTTCTTATGACGGAACAATTTTGGCAGCCGCAAGCGAAGATTGCGTCATTTTCAGTGCACTAAATCAAGAACCTGAATCTGATATGAGCATTTCTACTGTGCGCAAAATTATTCTTGATGGACAGCAAGTGTCTTCCGTTTTATTTGTTGATAGAGGAGAATTTTCATCAGAACAATCTTCGTTTAAATTCCGGTATGTGGTTATTGGCACGGAACGTAATACTATGCTTCACCTTTACGATGTAGAGTCAGATGAGTACATACAGTCGATCAAATTTTTACCACCACCTGAGCGTCGCTCTTCATTGAACAAAGGCTATCGAAAGGAAGAAGCCATGTTCAATTGCATTAGCTTCGATCAACGATCACGCACTCTTGTGGTAACTAATAGTGCCAGAATATCTATTTTTGCTCTACATTTGAACATGCCAAACAAAAATTCAGAGAAACTCGACTTGTTCAATCAATCCAACTTGATGGGCAATGGGCAGTTTGAATACGATTCTATAACAACTCCGGATGAATTTTCCATCTTAAATTCGGTGCAATTTGATTACATGATAGAATTTCCGGTAAATCAAATAATTGGTAGCTTCGTTATAATACCGGATACTACATCTTCCAATGGATTTTCGTTATATTGTATTCAATCTAAGGCAGTACAACAGTATTGCATAAGCGGAGATTTGTTATTAGCTCCGAATATTGATGCGTGTCCCGAATATGTAAGCGCGGAGAGAGTTCTTGATCAACAACGGCAGGACGATGAGGACGATGTAAAAAAGGAGCAAGGTGCTATTTATTCAGAGTCACTTGATTTTTCGTCAAATGCTGAAAGCACTAATGTCGAAGAAAGCATTACTGAAAAAGACGCTAACAAAGAAACATTAGTAGTCGAAAATTCATATTTTGCAGGTGATGGACCCGAAGTAACTTCTGTAACTTTTGAGGTTGATGAATCTACATCGACCGGAAAGCAAAATATGATAATAGAAGGAAATATGTCGGAATCGACGTATTTACCCGATGAGAGTGAAGCAAAAAATGCAGAAAATCAAAAAACGACTAATATCAAATTGTCCACGGCTGTCAATGGTGCGATAGCCAAATTAAAAGAGAAAAAGAAAACAATTGCCGCGACAAGTACTGCATCAGTGGTTCAGAATGCAGATATATCTTCAGATTCAGAAAAGACTTCAAGGAGGAAAGAATCGCGTCGAGGATTGGAAAAGGAAAAGGACAACGAAAATGTTATTCAATCTTCAGAGGTTACTAACAAATCTGCGGGTAAAAAGTCTGCAGAAGGAATCCCAAAGAACGGAAAGTCTAACGCTGGTGGTGAGAAAAACAGGAAGACAACAGAAATACTTCAAGATAACATTAAAGTATCCAGCGGAAAATCTTATTCTGGTCCGGAGGTCCCCCCCACGATTGGACAGTCTTCGACGACAACTTCTGGCGCTGGAATATCACCAGCTCAAATGCAGACAATCTTGAAAGAAATAAAGAAAATGGAAGACAATATTACCAATAAGCTCGGAAAGACGTTTTCAAAAGAATTAGAAAAACAATGCATGTTTTTTTTTTTTGAATCAAATGGATAAAAAGTTCAATAGATCATATTAATTAAATTACTCTTCTGAATATTTTAGTTCAAAAGATTGAAGAAGAGCGCATAGCTCATCAGGCTGCAGAAACTTCGCGCCAAGAAGCAATTCTTAAGATAGTTTCTCAGACTCTCAGCACCAATACGACTAAATTATTGGAATCAACGATCCGTAACGAAGTTCAAACTTCCGTTTTACCGACATTAAGCAAGATGGTCACTAATGCTGTTGACAAGCATGCTCATAAAGGAATGGTTGATGCTGTGAATAAGGTTCGACTAATAATTACAATATTTATACAGTATACGAAAATTTCAACTCACTCTGTACAAATTCAATTATTTAGAATATTCCAGCTGCTATTGAAAAATCTGTAGCTGATAATGTACAGCGTGTTCTTGCAAAAACTCCAGTCATAGAATCAATTGCTAAAGGTGTCTCCAAGGCTATTAGGCCGGTTATCGAAGAAACATTCAGAGAAAATTTTACAACTGTACTCATTCCGTCTTATCAAAAAGCTACCAATGCTATGTTTGAGCAGATAACCACTACTTTTGAGGCTGGTCTACAAGACATTGCTCACAAGAGTGCACAAGTTTCCTCATATTCAAATATGGGAAGCGTCAATGATCAGAATGCTTTGGCGCGTTTGCAGGCCTCTTTGGAGCATCTGACTCTGTCCGTACAACAGCTTCAGCAATTACATCTACAAGTTAATCCACAATCAAATCTTCCGAGACATGTTGAGCAACAAGTAAATCGTACATCTGACGAATTACAACATCACCTAGCTCGGTCACTTTCGGGTGAATTGAAACGCATTTTGATTCCACATAATTGTGCTACAACTCAGCCACCCCCTGTGACTCAACAAGAAACATATAGCTTTTCTTCATCTGGAAGACCATCTTCTCAACAACAGCAACATCAGCAGCAGCAGCAACATCAGCAGCAGCAGCAGCAGCAGCAACACCAACATCAGCATCAGCAACAACAACAGTTATTCTCTCCTGGAGAGACAACTGGCCTGGAAGATTCTAATAACTCTGTTATAGAAAGAGCATTAGAAGCTCAGAATTATGAAGATGCATTTGTGACGGTTAGTATCAAAATTTATTCTTACAACATAAATAAGGAATTTGGGCTATTTTTTATTTAATTATCTTTATTTAGGTCCTTGCGTCACACGAGCTACCTTTAATTCTACGCCTTTGCAGTAATGTTAGTCCGAAAACAGTATTTCCACCTGCGAGACCTTTACTTTCACAGCCCGTAATTCTTTCGCTTATTCACCACCTTTCTTTGGAATTAAATAAATATTCTGAGCTAAAACTTGCATGGATGGAGGAGGCAGTTATTAAACTTAATCCAAAGGTATAAATTAATGTATTTATTTCATTTCATTTACTCAGACTTTAATACGAGTATTATTTTTAGGACCTTATAATTCGAGAACATTGTGAAAGGCTTTTACCGATGGTGAAACAACGACTAGAACAATATTATTATCAAGTCGCCTCTCAAGATCCACAAAGTCCTAATCTGAAAAATATATCACTTCTAGTTCATGTTGTCAATGGTCTATTAATATAAAGAAATGATTAATATATGAAATTTGATTGTTTTGTAGTTTTTCTTATTTTTAGGATTAGTGATTTCCGGTAGCATAGGGTTGCAACTATGACTTGATTTTTCGGATTCAAGCAGTCTGTGGCATTGTATATTAGTATGCATTTAGTCTCTAAAAAACGACTAGTATCATTTATGCTGTCGCTGCAGCTTATTGCGATTTCCTATGTAAAAACAAAAGAAATCAAATTGTATTTTTATTTATATTGGGTAAAAATAGAAAAAATTTAAGGCTCAAGCGTTTTTCATTTTTCGGTAATGACTTGCATTACCGTTGGTTGTGAAGATGTCAAAAAAAAAAACATTTGTTCAACTAGACTATATTAATAAAAGTTGTAAATTTGAGATTTTGAGAAGGAATCAATATTTCGTGCCCCATTTTTGACAAATGGGTTTTTTAAATTTTTATCCAAAATATGGTGTAAAACATCTATACTAGACAATTGTGATTTGTTAAAACTTTTTATACAAGAGGTTTTCAAAAAACTAATTATTTTATAAAGCTATATAAGTTTTATCAGCATCTTCCTCGTGAGTAATTTTACACACAAAAGAGGTTCAACAAAACTGTAGTTATCTTCATAGTAACTTCGTAAAGAGCCAGTGTCCTATTAATCAAATATACGTGGGTGATTGAAAAGTTTTGCACTTAGATTCATTTTAAAAGATATTATTTTAAAATTTATATGTATAAATATAGTGGTTATGATTGTTCTATAAAAAATTTTTTAGCTATTTTTATCAGACAGTTTTTAAAATATTAAATTTTTAAATTTTTTAGCTATTTTTATCACAGTTTTTAAAATATTAAATTTTTAATTATATGTATAAAAACTATTATAAATTTTTTATATATAAAAATTAGTTTAAAAATATTAAAAAAATAAAAATTTTAAACCAATTTCTTTGAAAACTTAAATAATAATAATTTCAATTATGTAGTTTTTAAATATATAATTTATTTTTAAGTTAAAATATTAAATTTTAAAATTTTATATTTAAAAATTCTTTTATTTTGCAAAGCTATATGTATTTTAAAATTTTAAAATTTTATAAATTTTATAATGATAATTTTTTTTTTAATTATTATTTTTGGATAAATCTAGATCCCACACCTCTATATAACATTTAAATCTAGCATCTGGGATATTAGATACTTATATATTGTATAAAGATAAAAAATGAAATTTACAATAACATTAGCTCTAAACCAGGTAATTAAATCGGGTAATTACAAATGTCATGTATAGCTTCCAGAATTAAATTATATACTCTAAAAACCCTAACCCTAACCTCTAACCCTAACCTCTAACTAACCCTCACCCTAACCTCTAACCTCTAACTAACCCTTACCCTAACCTCTAAACTAAATTTGCCCCAAATCAGCAAAATTTACAAGTAAAATTGCTTAAATTGTATTGCTAGTTCAAAAAGCTTGGGTTACATGAAAAAGCAAAATTACATACTAGATTTTAATCAGAAAAAATTATGGGAAAAATCAATTAATAGTATAATCTTACATTTATTGAATCTGAAACTTAAACAAAATAGTAAAATGTAAAGAAAAAATCAAACTACAGGTTAAAGTTATATTAATCTATTTCTATGCTATTGATCTACTTTTATATACTTTCGATTTACCTTTACCACTTCTTCTGCTTCCTGTACTGTTATTATTGCCCTTTTTGTGAAAAGCCACATTGTGCTCTACAGTATTATAGATACAATATTTATATAGCCTTTTATTTTTAAAACCTTCTTGATTACCCTGTTCTTTTTCAAAACTGCTAATAAGTCTTTGTTTTGGTGGCTGTTCTTTGGTAAAAACTTTATTTGGATTCTTTATATTTTCAAGATTTATTTCATTCATATCTTGGCTTTCTTTAGTTTTAGTTTCAGTATCAGTTTTAGTTTCATCTAATTGATTACTAGTTTCATTTGTTTGAATCTTCAAAAAATTATCAGATACTTTACCATCCATGTATCTTTTAGGCATGTTATGATTTTCATTACGTTTTCAGTTAATATAAGCTTGAAGATAAGTAATAATTCCATTATTATCTTTTTCAACTGCAAGTAGTGTAGCTTCTCATGCCAGTCCCCCACATGTGACCAGTATTTAAAATTCAAAATTGATTTTATGTTCTCAAAAAAATATTTTTTAAAATTTTAATATTCTCAAAAATTTTTTAATGTTCTCAGTATTAGAAAATCAAAAATTTTTTAATATTAAAAAATTCTGTTAAATATTCTCAAATAGAAAACATTTTTTAGTAATTCATATTCATAAAAATTGTTAAATATTCTCTAAGAACACTGAGAATATCAAATTTTAAACACTGCATGTAACTATATAAGTTTCTTTTATAAATAGATTTTTTAACCATAGGCACAGTTGTCAGAACGATAGTAGGTTTTCATATCGGTAAGACTCCTTTATCATTAAAAATGCTTATCTCATATCTAAATATTGCACTTTTTCTTTTTGGAATCGATTCATCCTGATGATAGTCTTTATACCACCTCCTAGATATCATACTAATATGGAATGCTGTAATTTTGAATGCATCATAACATGGAAATAGTGGTGATATATGATTCCTCTTGAGATAGACATTAGGCATGAGCATAAGAAAAATATAGTGTTGGCAACAACAACAAAATATACATGACATTATTTTTCACTTTTTATATCTATAACTTTCCAAATTTCTAACACTTCTTCTTGTCTCACTTTGTTAATAATTGACTGGAGTGTAATGAGGCATGCATTACATTGGTCTTTGATAAATCCATCAGATGCTAGTTGATTATTTTCCTTTATAATGCAAAGTATGCTATTAGTTTAAACTTGAATTTAATTGAACACCTAATTTTAGCATTATCTGTTCACAATATAATTCTTCAACACTAGGCTCAATCTTGTTCACACTAACAAATAAACACTGAGACATCTCTATTTCAGCAAATTTAATAGGTGCAATAATTTACGAAGTATAAGAAAACCGTAATATTATATAATAACTTTTGCAATATTAAGAAATATATAATTATGAAATATTATATAAGATTATTATGCAATATTACGCAAGAAATTACACAATTTTACATAAAATAATTCGAAATAATTCAAAATAGATTGAGATAAATTACTATGAACTATTAAGTGCAAAATAATTTGAAATAATTCAAAATGTTTGAAATAATTAAAAATAATTAAAATTATAGAGCTAAAATTTTTAAATGTCAATATTTAAGAATGAAACTGATTGAGATAAATTACTATGAAATAAAAGTACAAAATAATTCAAAATAATTTGAATTATATTAAAAACATTTGAAATAATTAAAAATATTTAAAATTAAAGAGCTAATATTTTAATGACAATATTCATTATATTAAAATGGTTTGAAAAAAGTAAAAATATTTAAAATTAAAGAGCTAATATTTTTAAACGTCAATATTCAAGAATAAAACAGATTGAGATAAATTACTATAAACTATAAGCACAAAATAATTCGAAATAATTCGAATTATATTAAAACAGTTTGAAATAATTAAAATTAATTAAAATTAAAGAGCTAAAATTTTTAAATGTCAATATTCAAGAATGAAACAGATTGAGATAAGTTACTATAAACTATTAGTGCAAAATAATTCAAAATAATTCAGATTATTTAAAATTAAAGAGCTAATATTTTTAAACGTCAATATTTAAGAATTAAATTAGACTATCACTGAATTTTATTTATAAATA